GTGAGCCCTGGGAGAGGGGGAAGCTGCGTGTGACACTCGGCCCCCGCGTGAGCCCTGGGAGAGGGGGAAGCTGGGGCCTGAGGCTGCCTTGAACAGGGATGGCACAGCATGAGGAACTTGTGATCCTGGGGCAGCTCAGATATGTGGCCCCAGGAGTTGTGTCCCACCTCCCACCAGTGGGAGCTGTCTCTTTCCAGACAGCAGGGAGAGGCTGAAGGGGCTGGCGTTAAGGCCCTGGGCCCGGGTGGACACCCATGACACACACTGGACACACGTGCCCAGGAGCACTGGCCACACTCGCCCCCCACTCGCCTGTGCCCAGCAGCCCACCTGGATGGGCATTGGTCTCCTGCCTTAAGCCCCCCTCAACCACACGCAGGGCTTGGGCTGGGGGTGCTCACAGGAGAAGACCAGGGCCTTCACCTCCTTCCCCTGCAATTCCCAGGCGCTGGGCCAGGTGTGGCCCTGTATCCGCCCCCCCCCCACTGCCCCCCAGCACGTCACAGTGGGTGGCTGTCGGCAGGACCACTCCCCAGCCTCCTATAGAGCCGGCTCTGAGATGAGGGCCAGGACAAAGCCGAGGTGTCCTCTGCCCCAGCCCGAGCACAAGGGTGGGTACGCTGTGGCACATGAACACACGCATGCATACAGCCCAGCATGTGGGAGTAGACGCACGCACACACAGACTCAACCCACCCGGACACACAACGGCAGACATACCTGTGGCCCTGCGTATACCACGTGTGCACCTGGCCAGCACACGTGAGGGTGGAGTTACACCCAGATGTACACATGTGGATCCACCAGCCCCACACGCAAACCAACCTCTTGGTTTTATCTGGGCCGGTCCTCCATGCTGAGTCCCACCTGGCCACAGTGGGCTCTGATACGGGCCTCTCCAATGAAGTGCGGTCCTCAGCCATTGTCTGCTCAGTTCAGCCCAGCCCACCCTGTCCGGGAGGAGGGATCCTGGCCCTGCCCTGCCCTGGCTGCCTTGGCCTCTCTTGCCACCTCTCTCCCAGCCCTGGTCCTTGGAGTCACCGTGAGGGGCCCAGATGCCCTCCAGGATGGAGACCTCATCCTCCACTGCCAGGTGCTGAAGGCTCCCTAGGGTCATGCCCTCTTCCAGGGATGGATGTGGGGTGCAAGGCCCAGCCACCCGCTGGTTGGAACCATCACTAACCAGCCCAGCCAATCATGGAGGGGCTGAAGGCTCCATTTGTTCAGCGGGGACTTGGCTCAGCTTTGGAGGGCCCTGAAGGGGCCTGTCCAATAGATACGCCTGTGCAGGTCACAGTGTCACCAAGGGACCTGGCCCAGGGCCAGCGCTGTGACCTGCCACTGGGTATGGCTGGGAGCCTGGGGGCCCAACACCCCCACCCTGGGCCTGGAGGAAGGGCAAAGCCGTCCCTGGCCCAGGGCTTGGGGACTCGGAACAGGGTGGGTGTCAGGAAGAACGTGGCCTTCTCCCCAGGGGACCTTGGTCTCCACACCTGCCAGCCACTCTGGGAAGCAGATACTCGGGGGCTCTGAGTCAGCCACAGAGGTGATGGGCTGACATTTGGAGGACAGGAAAGGGCCACCAGCCCTGTGCGGTCCACGCTCTCCCTTGGCCAGCCCCCACTCCTCCCTGCTGCCTTCACGGCTGAACCAGCTCTGTCTCTGCCATCCCCAGGCCTGGGTGCCTGGTCAGCAGTTCCCAGTCACGGAGTCCAGCCGAGGGCTGGGGAGGCCCAGCAAGGGTGTGGGGCAGGGTCTGAGTGCCCCTGCTGTCCCAGATTCAAGCCCAGCCTGGCCCCACCCTCACAGGGGCCCACCTCCCTAAGGCCGAGGGTCCTGGCAGGTTGGGGGGGGCAGCAAAGACTGAGGCGAGGGCGAGGGCCCAGGTGGTCAGGGAAAGTGTGGATGGGATGGACCTGGGGGAGCTGGGAGGGGCGTGGAAAATCAGGGCGTGGGGTGGATGCAGGTTCTGTGCTCAACCTTGATGGTGTGACCCCTGGGGGTCCGCGGGAAGGGGCAGCACAGGGTGGACTTTGGAGGTGCAGTGTGTGGGTCAGCAGGGAGAGCCCGAGGCTGTGGGATGAGCTGGAGAGGGTGGAGGCCTGTGGGGTCTGGGCTGAGCTTGGCTCCTAGCGGGTCTCGAGGTGGGGGCAGGCAGCTCTGACGGGAGTACCCCCCAGGGTCCCTGAGAGGAGGCATTCGGATCCCTGGGCTCCCCGGGAGAGGGTGGTGGCCGGGGGACCCTGAATTAGGGAGTCTGGGGCGGTAGAGGAGGCTGGCAAGGCAGGGGCAGCCAGGGTCCGGGAAATGGGACCAGCGCTCAGAGGACTGGGAAGTTGTGGAGGAGGAGGCAGGACCTGGGGAAGGTCCGAGGCAGGAGGCTGGCCCAGGAGGAGGGGAAATCGCTTCCTCACCTGGGAGGCAAAGGAGGTGGGGGATGGGAGAAGGAAGTGTACCCCGAATCAGGAGACGGTAGGAAGGTGGGAGCAGCTCGGACCCCACACCCTCGACCCCCACACAGTCGGCAGTCCGCACGGGGAGCAGTGACAGAGTAATTTGCGGCTGGCAGGCTCAGCGCCTGCTTAATTTGCAGTGACACTGCTCAGCTGCCCAGGGCTCCAGCTGTCACAGCCAATTAGCCCGAGGCTGGGGAGGAGCGCTGGGTGGGGCAGGCGTGAAGGGCTCAGCGAAGGAGGCTGTGGGAGTCGCAGGAGGGGCGGGCACAGGAGGGGGCCTGTGGCCTTCAGGCCCGGCCCACCCCCCCAGGCACCCCAACCCGACTGTGGAGAGCAAGAGGTGGGGCACCCCCCAACAGCAGCCCACCAGGCCTGAAGCCCCTCAGCTGCAGCCCCTGCTGCCCCTTTCAGCCCTGGCGTTCCCCTGAGCCTTGCCACCTCCTCCATGCTGGCCTCTGGAACTCCAATGCCCTTGACGCCTGGCACCCGAGTTAGGTGTCCCAAGGGCAGCTGGGATCAGTTCTAGCCTGGAGGATAATTCCTTTCCACACTCAGGCCACTGCCTTCCCAGACAGAGCCACCTCAGCCCCTGACTTGAATCTGTGGCCCAGCCCTTCCCTCCCATGTGGTGGGCTCCGCCCTGGGGCCTCCCTGCCTCCACCGCACCTCCCAGCACCCCCTCAGCCTGGTCTAGCTCACAGGGGACGGCCCCTTTCCCTCCCTCCCACCCAGTCCTCAGAGGCTGACACAGGAAGGTATCTGGAACATGCCAGGCACCAGCCCTGTGAACCCTGATTGCCTCCCGGGAGCAGCCTCAGTGAGGGTGCAGGCAGGGTACTGGGCACAGAAGAGCCCCAGGCCACCGGCGGGGCCCCGCGGGACTCTCGGGGACGCTGGCTGCTCTATGAAGGAGGGTCCCGGAGCCCCTTCTCCTATAGCACCCTTGCCCCCATCTCCTGGCTGGGACCCAAGTGTCTGGTCACCTCCCCCAGAGGGGTGGGTCTCAGGGACAAGCCGTGTCCTCCAGGAAGCCACATGCCCTGGGTGGCCCCACTCTAGCCGCAGCCTCTGCCCAGCTCTTGGTACAGATGCCCCAGGGAAGCTGATGCCCTGAGGGAGGGGCATAGTCCATGGCTCCTCTGGGACAAGGGAGTTTCAAACACAGGGGCCCAGGCTGGGCCCACCCCACCCAGCCCACCCAGCCCCAGCTTCTCCCTGCAGCCTCTGGTCTCCTGTCTCCAACCCCAAGGCTGCCCCTCCCCACGAGAAGCCGCCTGTGGCTGTCCTGGCCCTCCAGCCCACACTCCTGAGGGATCTGCCTGCCCCCTACCCCCAGCCTCAGCACTCCTGGTGTGCTCCCCCTCAAAGGAAGCCCTCTGCCAACCCCACAGCCCCCTTCGTCCTGGAGCATGGAGCACGGCTTGTCTGTCCCAGAAGTGTTAGGCAGCTGGCCAGCCTCGGCCCCAGCTCCACCCTCTCTACGGGGGCCCTGCCGTTGCCCCGGCTCCCCGGCCGGGCCGGGATCTCCTGCCTATTTGCTGCGGTGCTGGGGAGGGGCTGTGCCCTGCCGGGTGGGGCACTGATGGTGCAGCAGAGGCGTCAGGAGGCGGCACTTCTAGGCACACATCGCGGTGTGTGAGATGCTCAGGCTGGGGCGCGGCAGGACACAGAGCAGCAGCGCTGGGACTGTTACCCCAGTGGGGTGGCGCGGGCGTGCCAGTCCTGGGCAGCATGAGGCTCAGGTATGGAGAGAGAGATGGGAAGATGAATTGCATGCTGCAGAGTAAGCCAGAGGGTAGCCAGGAAATCAGGAGAGGAAAAGGGCGGGAAGGGAGGGGGAAGAGCCCGCCTGGCCTCCAGGAGGCCCCGCCAGCCAGTAGGTGGCTGGGCCTGTGTGTAGAAAGTGGGGGCTGGAGCGGCTGCAGGGAAAGAGGCGTGAGATGGGGGCAGGGAGGGCGGCGAGGAACTGGGGACAGATCCTGGGGCCACTGTGGGGGCAGCAGGGGCCCCTGCTTCTGTATAGAGGATCGTGGGGGACACAGGCTGGAGCTGCCACAGTCCAGGGAGGTGGCTGACCAGGTCCACTGAGACCCTCAGTTTCTTCTTCACTTTTCTGCTCTGTAGTTTCAGACAAGCTTGGAGCCCCGTTTTCTCAACTGTGAAATGGAAATTGTAATAATAGAACCTGCTTTCCTGTGCTTGCTTGAAGATTAAATGGGCCAAGGTGGTATAGCCTCGGCAGGGGCGGGGCACACGCAGTGTGTGTGAAATGGTTCCTTACCCACCGTCTCTGCCCTCTGGGTCCTGGGGGTGTTGCATGGGGGACAGGATACTCTGTCTGCCTCATGCCCTATCTGGGCCCGCTGCGCCTATGGAAAAGCAGGAGGCCAGCGCGGGTGCCTCCGAAGGGCAGCCCCACACTGCATCTGAGGGTGCTTGGTGCACCGCCCTGGAACCCCCATACCTGAGAGCTCAGGAGGTGCGGGTGGTGCAGAGGGCTCGAGTGGGGGTGGTGAGTCTGGAAAGGCCTGGTCCCCTCCCTCCCTTGTCCAGTCCTCTTCTCTGGAGCAGGGTGGGGGCTGCCATCGCCTTGGAGGCAGGTCAGGCAGTGGGGCGTGGGTGGAGACAGGGCCCTGGACCTCATCACTGGCCTTGTTAGGTGCAGTGGGCACCTCCCCAGCTCCCCCGCCCAGTCACCAGGCCACCCACGCCATGGTGGACTGGAGTAGGCCTGACCTCTGCCCCTCCCCAGCTGGAGGTAGAGTGGGGCAGTCTCTCTGGTCTCAATCACCTCATCTGTAAAAAGACACTGAGTTCTCCCTACCTCCTCCCATCCGGCATCCACACAGGGACCTCGTGAGGAGGAAAGAGAGGGTCCGTTCCGCAAGCCCTTCGTCAATCTGAGAGGGCTTCTTGGAATAGGGGACTCTGTTCCGAGGGGAGGGTGTGCAGTGGGATGTGCCTCTCCAGTGCACCGGGGCGGGATTTGCAGGGGTGCCCCCAATCCAAGACCAGAGATGTCTTGGCTTGCAGTGGGGCTTGCAGAGGGCCGGGGGGAACAGAGCTTGGCTCCTGGCGGGAGGGGAGCAGGGAAGGAGCAGGCATGGGAGGGGTGCCCAGAGCTGCCATCCATGGGGGTCCCCAGCTCAGCCCAGCTCTGCTCCCAGAAGCAGTTCCTCCACTACTCAGCAGCAGTGCGCTGCCGGTCTGCAGTCCCCACTCCTCTCCTCCTCACACCCCCCACCCGCTGGTCTGTCCCCTCACCCTCCCTTCCACAGCCCTGCCCAGAAGGTAAAATCCAGCCCTGCCCATACCTGTGCACTAGGGACAGAACAGCCCCAACTCCTCCCACTTTCTGCTGAGTTTGGGGAGCTGACTTAATCTGAGTTCAGAAACTCTGGGGCCCTGGACAGGGCGCTTAGGGCCACGTTGAGGTTACGATCAGGAAGGTATGACATTCAGCATTCTCCAAAAGATAATTATTTCTGCAGGAATTCATGTGACAAGCCCAGACACACTCCTGCTCCCTCTGTCTAGCACTCTTTAGCCATTAAATCTTACCCACCCACATACACGTAAATAACATTTAAAACGCACTATATAATAACGAATACAAAATATGTTGTCTAATCATTCTTACCTGGAAAGACCTTTA